CGTATCATGGCGTGTAAAACAAATCCCGAATTTAAATTTGACTGTGACGCCGTTTTGTGTCTGAATGCATAGTTTAGACATTGACACGTGTGTCTGTGTGCTTGGTCTAGACTTTGACACCGTCTCAATCTAAACACGTCACTCGCCATTAACGTGCATGTTAATTAGATCCGCCACGGATTATAAATTAATGCAAGCTAAAGGCCGACTTTAAATTATTTCTGATAGCGAATGGCCTATCCCCAAAAGGACAAGGTACATCGAAATAATTAGATGTAATCGAATATTCTGGTGTCTGTTACTGTAAGATGTAATCACGTGGTTGCGATGTGTTTTTATTTTTGAATGTTGGTTTTTCCAAATCACCAAATCCCACATAATCATGTATGTATACATACTTTAAGCACACGTATTTCCAATGTAAAATTTCCTTGTAAATTTTACTTTTAATGTATGTCAATACAACTTAACAATTTTTTTTTGTTTACATGGATTTAGTGCTTATTAAAAAAAAAACTAATACATTACAGTTGTCTTATAGCTTAAGTATTTAGTCGGCCAAAAAGTCTCTTGGCAAACCATTAACCTCGTTTCACTTTTTACAAAGTATGAACCATTAAGTTTCCGTCCCCAGATTTCAATTTAATCTGGCCCCTATTATCCTGCCTTAATTTAATTATCACCGGTGGTCATGTCCACCGGACACCCACACCTCCGAAATGTATTGACCCCCACCGACCAGTCCCCCCATCCCACACACCTCGCTGGTTCGTGCGACACCCAACACGGCTCGTCTGGTATCAGTTTTACAACCGGCTCGTGAAAAAGGACCGTCGTAAACTGGGCCCCCAACAATGGTGCACCTAACAGTTTTAACACTTCATCCCCTGGTCTCCCGATCCGTGACCGGCCGGCCCGGCTGACCATCCGCGCGACACCGCTTAAATAAGGGCGTCCTTATGATCGTGCGTCAAACCGTGTTGGCAAGTCGTAAAAATAAAATACAACCCCAACGGGAATTCCCGTTGTTAGGCGCGCTTAAAAAAAAATGTTTTAAAAATAAAACCAGCGGAAAAACCCGCTGTTCCCCCTTGCTGCATATTTGCGGAGATGGACAAAGGAAGACAATCACTGTATCAAGGCGGATAGCGTCGTAAACCTTGTTTGACTGCAGCGTTTTCGGACGCGTGGATAATAAAACTACTGGTCCCTGGTTCGAAACTCGTTAGCGGCGACCATAATGGGATGACAGCGTGGAATTGTCCGAGCTTGTTGAGGCGATACTTGGACGTCAGGCGGATTAATACAGTTACAAGGATAGCAGGGACTCTATTGTCGGGCGCGAGCCCATTCTAAAAGTCTTGAAATGCCAAAAAAAAAAACAACAACCGGGAGACTCACCAGCTGAAAACATTTCAAAATGGCTGCAGATTTAGCGCTGAGTGTGAAATAAATCCGGCCACTGCGATATTTTTGTGTAGGGCGACTTGCGGAAGATTAAATTGTCATCCGTTTTCTACAGGGAGATGTCCGGAAAACCGGAACAATCAACCGGAAACCGGATCAATACACCGTAATAAAACAAGAGATTGAATATTTGAGAATATCGGTTTGTTAAAATAAAAAAAATTAACGAGGACATTTCCCGCAGATTTTCTTAAATAATTGATTTCCATTACAAGAAATTATCTTACAAAACAATTCCTTGCAATCACATGACTTTTCTACTACAGTAGTGCCAACACTATAGCATTTGTTTCGATGTTTCGACCTAAGGATATTATCAGCGTACTACCGGTATTCATTATGGCGATTACACGAGAATTTACCAGTATCAAAGTAGCTGCCGTGTCCACCAATGTGGTATTTGCGTACTGATTATTTAACAACTAATAAAACACGGCATAGCCCCCCCCCCCCCCCCTTGCCCGCTTTGTAAACCGTTTCTTCGCCCATGCGCGGCGTCTGATCTATTGTCATCGGGAAATCCCGTTCAACTTTCATCGGGTCGCGACGCAGCAAAACCGTTTGCCGGTCCGGGTCTACCTTTTGTGGTCCCGTTTCAACACCAGGTCGATTTGTTGATTCACGTGGTCGATGGGGCCCCGGGAGTGGACAATGCTGACCACGACCTACAGTCTGTGACGGAGGCACTGAGTTTAGGGGATAAAAGCCGGGGGTCAGAATGTAAGCCGTCGACATGCTGGTCAGGACGAAAGGGCCGGTGTTTAGCATGGCCTGACTCATGCTCTTGACCGGGTGTTATTTCTCCTGGTCAAGACTGGCTTGTAACGACTCGGTGTTATCATGACGTAAGACAAATTCACGTTGGTGGTCAATGGCGTGAGATATTGACTGAAGTAGGGGTGGGAATTAAACCCACATTCTCACGTATAAGCTTCAATAGTAACCGATCTATCCAGGGGTATCCATAACGGTACATTCCGTTGGTGAAATAAACTTACACAAAGGATGTATTTCACACACATACACTTAAATAAAATGTGGATTTCACACATCCACTTAAATAAAATATGGATATCACACACATACACTTAAATAAAGTGTGGATTTCACAAACATACACTTAAATAAAGTTTGGATTTCACACACATACATTTAAATAAAGTGTGGATTTGGCATATAAAAATAAAAGTCTGCGTTTGTTTTCTCTTGGCCCCAAGAATTTTCTCCACGGGGAAGTAGGGGTGGGGGGGGGGCTGCTTTAAGTCGTCACGTGCCGAGGGCTGAGTTAGCAGTTGACCGACAACATCCCAGGTTTAAAATAAAGCTAAGGGTTGGGGTAAGGGGGGTGGGGGAGGGTCGGGTTGTGTTGGCTTTTATGAATAAGTTTGGTTTGGATGTGTTTGTTTTCTGGATCACCTGTGTGGAAGTCTGTCTTAGTTGGATGTCTGTGCTTGACCTGTCTGTGTGTCGGTGTGTTGGTTGGTGTGTGTTTGTATGTTGGTTGGTGTGTATGTCGGTGTGTTGGTTGATGTGTTTGTATGTTGGTTGGTGTATGTCTGTGTGTTGGTTGGTGTGTATGTCGGTGTGTTGGTTGGTGTGTTTGTCGGTGTGTTGGTTGGTGTGTATGTCGGTGTGTTGGTTGATGTGTTTGTATGTTGGTTGGTGTATGTCTGTGTGTTGGTTGGTGTGTATGTCGGTGTGTTGGTTGGTGTGTGTTTGTATGTTGGTTGGTGTATGTCTGAATTTTGCTATTGTGTGTATTTGTAAGTGGGTATTGTGTAAGTCTGTGTGTTGATTTGTGTGTATGTCTCTATGTTTTGGTTAGCGTAAATCTGTGAATGTATCGGTCTTTGTATCTATGGATGTAGGCAGGTCATCATATGTCTCTATGATGGTTTTCAGCATGTATACCTTCATGCATATGCCTAGTATGCTTTATTTCTAATTGAACCACAAACATAAATATAGCGTTATAAGTAACTGAATGTGTTTGTAGAAGGAAGTTTATACATTGACGTATGTATGTACATATAAAATGGCACAATATGCACTCAATGACGCTATCGATACAGCTATAATATTTTGGGGGGGGGGGGGTATGGGTTGAGGTTAAGGCCCGCTTACAGTGGCCAGGATTTTTCGACGAGGTTGACATCTCGCGAGTTACATGTGAACGTGACAACACCGGTCAGGTAACACGAGCCGCCTTCAGAGGGCCGCGCACAGAGGGGCCCCCAGCGGCCCACGGCGGACCACAGGCCGATAGGGTTACCGCGGGCCCAATCTGCTGTAGCCTGCAGCGATCTCAGCGGGGGAGGTTCGATCCACGGGGGACAACTCGGAGGTACTGATCTAAATATAGCCTCACGCGTTTCCCCGATCAGTTGATATGTTTGTCAGTAGTCAGGCATCGATGTTAAATATGTTCTAAAATGGCACGAGGACACACATACGGCACATTATGTTTGGACTTCTTCCTGTCGTATCTTACAACCAGAGGACCCAGTTTGAAGCCTAGTTTGTTTTCTTTAACAAATGGCATTAATTACACACACATACACCCCCATATATATATATATATATATATATATATATATATATATATATATATATATATATATATATATATATATATATATATATATATAAAAGATTATATATTGCAATTTAAGCATATGGAAATAAAAATATCTCCTTTGATTCTATATTGACCAGACTTCTATATTTTACCTGTACTTACCTAACCCTCCCCTCCTCACTCCAACACCCACGCCTCATCAATATCTAAGTTCACGATTAACGATTTTCGTCTCAGTACGGAAAGGTTAATTGAATATATTTTCCCAAATGACCAAATACTTTTATTCTTTATGAAAAAAATATAAAGGAAATGACTAAAAGCTTATAAGTCATGTTTTATTAATTTAAAAGTGTATATTCGGCATATTCCCCATGAAATGGGAGGTTGAGTTGCTACTATTGTAACCTAATGGGAAACAACTTCTCTAGAGTTTTTAAGACCATCGACAGACCAAATGTTTATACTAGGTCGGAGCTGACGCACTGGGGCGAGGGGGAGACCACTCACCGTACGTCATTACCAACGAACGATAACTCGGGCAAACTCTTCACTACCAATTGTGATGCGAGCGTGTGAAGAAAGTTGAAAAGAATTGTTAATGTGTGTGGAATGAAGCGCTTAAGATATTTTTTTAACTTTTTTTTTTAAAAGTGTGGGGGGTGTCAAATAAACGCTCCGCTCTTAAAACCTTTTCATCGAATTGTTAACTTTAATTGAGTGCACAAACTCAAATCTTATTGAAAACTTAAAACATTTGCTCTTTACCAACTTATCTTACCTGCTCCGATTATTTTTTTCTCATCCACCTTCTACACTTTCTAAGCATCTTTTTTTGTTCAAATTAAAAAAAAAATGATATGAGTAGTGTATATCTGTTCTTACAATAGAATCAATAGTTCTTATTAGTAGAATTTAACAATTAATTACCTGCTTCTGTTTTTGTTCTCTCCAGATAACGGTGCCGACTTCTATCCTGGTTACCAAGGTTACGGGGAGTTCTTCATGGGTCAGCCCCAGGACGGGCCACCCCCCGGGCTGACCTTCCTGCCCCCATCACAGGGGACGCCGCCCCTGAACATGGAGCCGGGCATGCATCCAGCGGGCAGACACCTAGGTGTGTATGACGCCTTTTCTTACCTGTAGTTTAGCCACCCCTCCCTCCCCACAACGTATGATTATCATGAACGGTGACATCTTACATCAAGATTATTGTTAACTAACTAAAATACCAAGCCCGTATTACGAGATTGTGATTGTATTCACGTTTTGGTGATTGAAAATCACGCTTTTAGAGTACTTACGTGACATCAGACTCACCAGGTTGGCGTGACAGTGTCACGTTTTGACATCACACATGAAAGTGTCACCATTCGACATCACGTTGCTAACGTGGCACGTTCACGTGACCACTATGGTATTGTCGCGTGACCGTAATGACAAGGCCACGCGACCAGTGTGACAATTTCACGCGACTAGCGTGACACTATCACATGGGTAGTGTGACAACATCACGGTGGAACTGAACAGCTTCCAGAAATCTCCATGAAAAGATGAACGGATAACTGTTTTATGGCAAGAGGAAGAGAAGGGGGTGGCGAGGTGGAGGTGATATCTCTTTACAGCAGACGTTTGACAATCTAACAGAGGCGTCATCCACTTCCGGAGAAAGTTCCCTCCGAGTTTGAAGTTCCACCAAGGAAACGTGGAGGGGGTGGGGGAGTCAGGGCGGTGATTTCTCTTGATGGCCCGTGCAGGGGATGAGCCTGTCATATCTGAGCCCGGGGATGACCGCTGGAGCGGGGACCCACATCTCCCGACCCCAGTGAGGCTGGCGATTTATCTCCCCCTGCCCGGGGAGGGAACTCCACATCTTGCGAGATGGCGTTTCCGTCCCATTTTTAAAAGCACAAATCACAAATATGGCCGCTCGCATAGATCCCCTGCGCTGATATTCCCTGGCGTTGGGGTTATAATGGGATTCCCCCTCCACGGACACACACACACACACACACATCCCTCACAGATAGACAGAAAAGAACAATAACCCCAGTATGAATGATGCAGTCTTTGACAAAGTTGAGTTTTATGTAGCATAAACCTGACAATCAAAAGTCATTTCTCATGACAAAACAAATTTCATCAAGAGTTACATTTGTATTGTGTTCATATATAAATATGGAATTACTATTAAAATATTATTTTAATATGGAATAAGTCAAAGAGTTTTTACTTTAATTTTGTTTTTATTTCTACCCGTATGGGATTGTAATTAATTAACAAGTATTTTAGTCAACATCATGCACAAAAAAATCAAAACAACGATAAGGGACTTCCTGCTGAGCCGCCATGCTTGTCGCTACATCCGGGTTTCTCTCATTAGGTCGTATTACATCCATCTCCATCCAATATTTAGTACTTAACTAACTAATATTAACAAAGAAAGAATTTTCCGCTAGGTGTCGCTATATAAACAATTCCTCAACCAATCGTCGTTACCGCTGGGGTTGTTTAAATTTTCATTATCTTAAATTAGCTTTAATTACTAATGTCACGGACCAGTGGAATAAGATCCTGGTGTATTTGTCTTCCATTTCGACCACCGATACATACAAATTATTACAAATACAATACACATTCAGTGGGAAATTGACTACCACTATTCTGAAATTTAAAGTGGTCTTTTCTGTTTGTTTTACAAATGCGAAATATAAACTAGCTTTAAATTGTTTATCTGAAACTAGGCTACTGAAACAAATTCCTGTGACATTTTGCTGCGATATTTTCTAAAAGTCTTAGAGAAAATCCGGATTTTTAGATAAACATAGGCTCTAAAATAGAATGTATTGGAAATCTCTGGAACAGACGGACTTTATTTTCCCGGAAAGAAAAAAAAGTATTTAAAAAAAATATATATTTGCATTGGAATGGGGGACGATGTCATCTGAGGGGGGTGGGGGTGGGAGGGGGTGAAAGGGGGTTGGGAGCTGTACAAGATTTAGTCTAGAACCCAGCCTAGGCTCCCACCCCTCCCCCATCACTCCCTACGGCTGGGACGGGGATTCCCGTAGAGCCTAAAGATTCCAGATCGTCTATCAGTCGCGGGGCAGGGGGGGGGGGGGGGGAGTTATTCCAGCGAGTGCCCGGCATCTCGAGTTCTGCCCCTGGGGGCCGGGGGACATCGATTTTGGGGGCCGTCCTGTCAGGCGGGCTGCAGCTAGCCCGAACTGCGGTGCTGTGACAGTTTAAGTTTTATAATCATTTGTCGATTACCAGCCGCTTCTCTCCCCCTGCTCACAATCCCACAATCCCTTCCTTCTGAAAATCGTTTTCTATAGGGCACCTTCTTGAGCCCCTCTTCCTAGCCCGCGATGCTAAAAATAGAAAACTGCCCTAAAAAGTTGTAAGAAGGTGCTAAAGCTTCCGTTCCGCGCGAGTTTTTAGGGTTGAGTTTAGCTCAGGTTTTCGGGATTTATTCACGAGGGTTTAAACCCCACGAGACTTGCGACGGATGTTGGATGGTGGCTATTTATAGATCTAAGCTCACATGCCGTGTACTCTATGAGACGACGGAGCTGTTTATATATGAATTGAGCTTAAGCTCCGGTTTTCAAATCTTTCAGCTGCATTACTTCCTGTTTAAACTGGAGCTAAAATGTCGATCAAAGTTGTTGAAACGTCGAACTAGACATCTTTAAAACTTTCCTATGGTATTGATGGGTAGCGCATCGTCGGTCAATAGCGTCCATCCCATATATACATAACACCACAACCATTCAGCCGTCATAGATTTTGGTAAAAGATGTCCCTGTTTTCACTGGTGTCGCTTTCATTTACAAATTTGAGTCGCGTTCACCAAGTTTAAATAAAAACACTTTTGACAAAAAGTTTTTAAAAAAAGTTAATAATTTCGAAAATGTATCAGATTTATACTCATATTATGGTATCTGTGTTTTGAAATTTTAATTAGTCTGTGAGTTCTTATGTAAGGTTTTATCTGCGTTTTAACTAAGTGGTTGTATCTAGTATATGTGTGCTTATGAATTGTTTACGTTTATTAAGTATGTGTTCACATTATGTTTAGTTTTTCAGCTCCATGTTTTGAAACATTTATTATGTAGGCCTATATGTTCATATATTCTATTCGTAAAAGTACTATGCGCGTACAACTTCTACTCCCAAATGAAGCCCAACATAAAAACGAGGAGAATGGCGATGTGGAGATAAATCTTCTCGTTTATCCAGAGCCCTAAATCGCCCAAATCTCTCCCTCCATCCCCCACCTCCCCCATCACATTTTTTGTTATCATTCGCTTCCTACTCAATTAGAAAAGAATCGATCCACGGACCTTCTCAGAAGCCCTGTTAATCGAAAAGGGTTAAAATAGCGTCTGTCGACAAGCGCCCCTCCCCCCACCACCCCACCCCTCACAGTGTCTTGACAACGTGACTTCGATAAAGGTCACGACGCTGGGGGTGGACAAGGAGGGGTCCACGTTGTGTTGGGGGTGGGGGGGGGGTGTTCATAATGAGATGCAGGTCCAGTGGAGAGAAAAAAAACTTTCAAGACTTGCGGGATATTAGCAGTAATTAGACGAAGACAAATGGTAATGACCGTCATAATAACACTTCAGGTGTTATTTTATGTCTGGATGTCGTTCAGCTGTTTTTGAGATTTGGTGTTTAAAGTCAAGTAGTGGATATTAGCTAGAAGATCCCAATTTGACAGCATACTATTACTACCCAGCAGACCCTCATTGTCCTATTGAACCCATTTAGCCCGACAAACCCCATTTTGCCCGACTACTCAGCCCTCTTGTTACCTTAACTACGAAACCCATACTTCTTAAATTTAATACCCTGTTTCAAAAGCGTTTCCTGCATTGTACGGGTGCTACCAAATATACAACAGTTTCAACAATCACATAAACATCACAACTATGAAGTGCCTCCACAAAAAGCATGTTGCGATCCCCTATCTGCCTTTGACAACCATCGATCGTCATTTAACTTCCCTGTTGGTCAGACGCCTATGTTAGTCGTATGACCTCAGTTGTCAGACGCCTATGCTAGTCGTATCGCCTCAGTTGTCAGACGCCTATGCTAGTCGTACCGCCTCAGTTGTCAGACGCCTATGTTAGTCGTACCGCCTCAGTTGTCAGACGCCTATGCTAGCCGTACCGCTTCTGTTGTCAGGTGTCTGAATACAAACAGCGTACACGTCTACCTCCTATTAGCTCACGCCGGCCCCCAACCACTGATGCACGTGCAGCCTGGGACATTTACAATCACGGGACTCGCGTGAAAACATGGAGCGTGAACCGAAAAACAAAGGACTCATGTTGTTCAAGGGACACAATGCAGGAAAACTGTTGCCCTATCCGGTATCAGTGCGCATGTCAATGGTCACATGCGCAGAGAGTAACAGCTTGCAGGCCTGGAGTCGCCAGGCACTGAGGCGAAGAGGCGCAAGTGGCGAATGTCGCCTGCAAACAAAACATGCGCTCAGTGCTCCATCAGATCTGAATGGGGAGCGGCGACAATAGGACATCGTTGAGAATAGAATGGGCGAGCTAGGGGAAGTTAGATCACAGAGCCATTGTTCTTTTAGAGAATAGCTTAGAGGGGCTTTTAATTCCTGAACTACCGGTAATAAAGGCAATCGTTAATATCCTTAAAAAGTTGTATAATGTATTTACGTGTTATATATATATATATATATATATATATATATATATATATATATATATATATATATATATATATATATATATATATATATATAATTTAAATATATATACATGTGTGTGCGTGTGGGCTTCGCGCTTGTATATAAATATTATTGTAGATTTAAAATAAATTTTAGTAATTTTTCGACTGGCTTAATGCGTTCTTAATTAAATGCCCATACGATTTACTTCGCTGGCTACTAAATTGCAGTTGTTAAACATTTCAAACATCTAATTAGGCGTAATTAAGAGCATCATGCTGATTTTGTCCGAATATATTCGTTTGTTAAAGATTCGATCTTATGAGATTGCTTACACAAGACCAATAAAAAGTGAAGCAACTTTAAAGACCGTTTTCTATTTTTTGTTGTTTTTTTTTTAAAGCAAC